TAGAAATATTTTTAATAGTGAGTTCTCGCTAAAATCTATGAATTCTATTCTCATTAGTATCGAGTTTTGTATTATATCAAATTATATACGAAAAAAAACAAAAATGTCATTTAATAGTAGTAGAAGCAGCTACCAGAGGCATATTTTCCTAATCTTACAACATTAAATCGTATTTCGTTTCCAATATTATCAAGAAATATGTGTATTGGTTTCCCAATACAAAGCTTTAAGGTGAAACTTCGGTTTGAAACTGTACTAAAAATTAATTATTTATAATATATAATTAAGTATTTATCATAATAATTACTGCTCTATCAAAGTATTGAACATAATTTCATAAAAAATTCTATCTAAAATAGATTTATTAACACTATACACAATCTTGGTATGAAGCCGATGTTACTTAAGAGATGTCGAGAGCGTTTTCCATATATTCTGTGATAGAACCCATGGCAAAAATAAAGAAAATATGATATAGTAAATATAGTAATAAAAATTTGAAATATATATATATATATATATATATATATATATATATATATATTATAGCAGTAGCATAAACTATTATCTGATAGCAATATGCAATTGCAATTACAATATCTACAGAAAATAAATTTCGTAATATTTATATAAGTATTAATGCGAAATTCTGTTTAAATGATGAAATGAAATTTAATTATGTATATTGTTTAGTATTAAAATTAAATACGTATAAATGTATAAAAAATATGAAAAAATTGAATATTCATCGTGGATAAGTCACTGGGTGTGTCTACTAATTTTTAATCTATATTAATTTCTCATATATATTTCTAGCAGTCTCTGCTCATTGTTTTTGAATAAGTAGATTCCAGAAAAAAGTTAAATAAAAAAATGATTAGTTAAATTTATAAAAATAATAAATTGCATATATGCAATTATTATACGTTCGGTATACCTACTAGTAAGTAAGTTTTTCAAACGTGATTAAAGAGTCATATACATATTTTAATAACTTAACTATTTTATTAAATATTTGTACAATGATCATTTGTTCAACAATAAATTTATAAATATAAGTACATATATCTATAATATTAAATTTACATTAATATTTTAATACTAGTAATAATTTAATATGTTTTGATTACACATATTTTCTTATACATCATTTTTGGGATATATACATAAAAAGCTCATATTTACATATTATCGCGTTATTGTGCATATTATTGATGACTATAGGTATTAAATCGGCTTTGAGATTGATATAATATTTTTGGAAATATGATTCTAAAGTAATCTTGAAGAGGAAAGAATAAGAAAAAAAAAACTGAGAACTAGAAATATTATATATATAATGAAAAATAATAATAAGTATAAGTCAAAATCATACAATGATTTGCAAACTTTTATTTTTATTCTGAAAATTATAGATTGAAGAACCATTTCTTTTTATTTAAAAATTAAAAACCAGCAATGAATTATAGTGAAAACAGGGTTATATAATTATTATATATTATAATATATATTTTATTTATTTAGTAGTTATTGTAATTATTGTAAATTTATTCTCAAACATAATATATTTTAACTAAAACACAGAGATGTTTATCAATACATAAAATCACATAATTATTCCAATAATTTTTTAATAATAAATTTCATAAAACGCTCATGTTTTTTTAATAATAAATAATATTTGATATCAATTTGCCCTTCAAGTTGTATTCAAAAAAGCAGCTTAATCAGGCTACTGTACCGGATAGTTTATTTGCAACAAAAATATTTGAATTTATTATAAGCATCTGCATTTTTTTATAACTTTATATATAATGCTAATACTGATAAAACTTAAATACGAATATATTTTAAAATTTTGGTCCCGGGTCTAAGATAAAAAATTAAAACTGTTGCGCATAAAATTGCTAATTTAATTGTTTGCGCCTATTTCACGACAGAAAATTTATTCAAAAATCATATACAGTTAATAAAAACTACAAAGATTCATTACAATCCAGCAAACAATACGCAAAAATAATTGCTACTATTTTTATTGGTGGAATAATTATAAATTATCTAAAATTCCTTGATAAAAGTTTTCACTAATGTGAATACAGATTTATTACTATCTACGTATGAAAAATTGTTATTTATAATTATATTAATTATAATATTATTTCGATTTGTATTTAAGTTTTATAATGTAATATGAAGTCCCCATAAAAGTCAGAGTTAATTTGTAGGTTTATAAATGATATTGTGAATAAATGAGGCTTTATATGATAGTTTAATATGATTTACATTTTATAACAAAAAATGATTTTATATATTACATATATAATTATATACAATTTGAACCTTTTACACTCATCAACAATTTTTATAATATAACATTTATATATCTACCCCTATCTAATTTTTCAGAACAAATTTCTCCTTTTTGCATGTTTAAAGTTAATAACTATATATTTGGAATTGAAACAGCCATCATTATATTAACGATCAATACACAATTTATTGAAATATTAAGTCTAATTTATCAAATGATTAATTAAAAATAAAAATAATCAAAAAAGTAATTTCAGACGATTTTTGGAAATAACTTATAGATGTAGTGTCTTCAATATAATGTTTGTCTCTATAATTTTTAGAGAAGTTTCAACCTAAAAATTACCTAAAATGTACACAGATAGAATTAATACGATGCACATTTATTACTAGGTTTGTTATTACAAGTATTTGCAAGTAAATTTACGTGAAGAAATATTACAGCACTTGACGAGTTTCAAAAGAATACTTGTAATTAGGTATAGGTTATATTTAATTATTTTTATATATATGCTTACATTACAACTTGAAAAGATTAGTAAATATTATATACACATAAGGTAGATAAGTAGGTACTCTAATTTATACAGATTTTACCTGATCAGGGGATAAATATAACGATAAAATCAACAAAAATGATAAATCTATATATAAAATATTGTATATAGATATAACTTGTGTCATCATTATGTATTGTCTAGGACCATAAGCATTAACAAATTGATTTTCTAAATAATTTTGAATGGAAATGGTATGTTATATGCGTTTAAAATAATAAATTAAGTCAATCGAAAGATAAATAAATAAAAAAATAGAGAAATGAGAAAAAGCTCAAAAAATCTAAAAAAAACCCGGAATCATAAAATATAATCATCTAATTGCCCAGAATGCTTCACCATTAAAAATAACAATTGAAAACATAAATTTAAAATTATAAATCAACTGGTTTTATTTTAATGAATAACTAACAGATATAATCAATAAAACAGATATTTCAATGGTTTAAGTCTTTTCATTATTGTAAAATAATTTATTACAAAAATATGGAGCATCAAATCGTTGATATTTACATTAATAAAAATTATTTTATTAGTAAAATCAAAATCATGTCTGAAAATCGAATCTTAATAATCAAAAACCGTCAATTTTAAGTATAATAAAATATTTTTTGACCTGCATTTTATATCTATCTCCACTTTATACAATAAACAATACAAAAACCATTTGATGATTTACCTCCATATTTGATAAAACATTCAAATATACATGGTTTGAAGAAATAATATTAAATAAATCATTTGTTATTAATTATTTGTGCGTATGGCATAGATGTAAAACATTCTGAGCAAAATTTGGTATAACAATATTCATGTACAAGTTTTCTACAGTTACTATACAATGATATGGGAAATCTACTTATATAATATATAATTTATACAAAAATCAAAATATGGTTGTTACATCTAGTTATAAATCATTAAATTTATTAGGTGGGATATTTTCACATCACATTCATACTTTAGGAAAACATCCACTTTCAGTATAAGCTTTTAGTAAAAGTATCTTGGTTGAATCTACATATATAAATTTGAATAATTTTAGTTAAAAAATTAAATTTACCAATGATTAAGTTGTACCCTGACTATATTTTGTATAATAATTTGTTAATTATATTATCTGGTAATCAATAATCTATAATATAAAAATGTTCCGCAAAATGTGTTGGTGAGCGCATAACTCAACAACGCCTGAACCAATTTGACCAATTTTTTTTTTATTTGTTGAAGTACAAGAATGGACCTTACGGCGAAAACAAATCAAATAATTGCCCGGAAAACCCTAAAAACAGCCCTTTTCTTTTTCATATACATACGTTAGTATTTTCATATTTTTGCCATCGGATACGGAATATTTACTCAAACCAATAGAGCGTTTTGGGTCTGATTTTTTTTACTGTGCTCCAATTCGTATGAAATTTTGAAATTAGGTTTATCTTACTCTCAAGTTCAAAAGTAAAAATAATTTAGACTTCTTTGCCATTTTCCGGGGGAATGACATCCCTCTCAATGGTGTAATTTCATTTTTTCAAAATAACGTCATTAAAATCATGTCATTTTTCAATTTTTATTTTTTATCCAACATTTTTCAATAACAAAATTTTCAAGTATGTTACCATTTTACAAATTAAATTTTTTGATAAAACTTGTTTTTACAAATTAAACTTTTGATAAAAACGCGCTTTAGTACATTTTTGTAAGAAGGACCTCTAAAACGCAAACGATTTAAAAAAAATTAAATATATAGTTCAACAAAGTCTTAATCCTTGAAAACTTTGGGCAATTGTGTTATTGCTTTTATTGCGGTACTAGAAATTATTCATATCTACATTTCCAAAGTTTAAATGAACAAAATTAGTAAAAATTAAACACAATAACTGAATGAAGATCATAATTTTCAAAGCTCTAGATTGGACTTAAAAGCTCATACTTTCTACACAATGTGAGATAATTATTTTTTTTACATATTTTCAGGACAGTTAAGGTCAATACTATCATCCAGTTTCGCCATGACGTTAAGTTCTGAGGCACCTTTTGTATAGTTTCTAGATGTCCGTAAGTGCAGATTTTTTTATGATTGATACAATTTACTTCTAGCTTATACCAAATTATAAAATTTAATAGGTAGGGTCTATGAATTTCGCTAATGGTGCGTTGTATATTTACAGTCGCTCGGCCCAGTGGCCGTAGAAGTGTCCCCGTAGAGGTCGCTTACGGCGCCTGACGCTCCGTCCATACTGCAAACAGAGTCTTCGGGAGTTCGAGACGATTTCGTTTTCGTTCCTTCTTGTTCTGATTTGTTGGCGCGCTGTTTCGCCTGGACACAAATTTATTTGTGAAAAATTTCCAAAATAAAAAATATACTCATGTTTTATTAGATACTATACACAGCTTTGTGACAAAATTAATTATAAATCCTGTAAAGTGCTCTTGACTTTCATGACGTTGAAATTAGTGATGTTAAACTTTCATATGTTTATTGCTTTGGCTCTTAAAACAAGTGCCAAAAAGCTATTAGAATTTTTCCTTAAATGTTGCCAAATCCAAGCTTTTTACCAAATTTTATAAATATATAGGCCTCTTCTCGAATACACATCTTAACCCGAGCCTAGATCACACTATGTCGATCAAAATTCTATTATAAATGTAATAATAGTAGCAATTCTCAGTAATTATTTGTCTTCATGAATATAACGTAAACCCTTAAAAATAACATACGCAATGTTTTTAAAGTCTGATATAATAATTGTAAGTTGTTGTTCTTTTATTTGTGGCTTCTAGGGCTAAAAACTCTTATTTTTAACTTTGTGTAGAGAGGAAGTTACTTCTTCAAGAAAAAGTCACACTGATTTAAACTAATATATACACTGGTATAAAAATCTAAAACCCTTTCTGGAAACCATAGCAGACTGATAAGATTCTGAATGCTATTGAACCGATAAGTTTCCAAGAATCAAAACGCTTGCATCAATCTTTTATATTTGGCTATATTTGTCATTTTTCATTTATGCTGTGAAAACCTAATTTTCTACTAAAAAACGGTTTTCGAATTCCATAATTTCAAACCCTAAGTGACAAACCCTAGTTTACACGCGATTGAAGTAAAACTTATTTGCTACTGTTCAAAGTAGAAAATATAAGTTAAGTAAAAATAAAATGAATATGTACATGAGATATAATTATATCCCATACGCAAAGTAGAACTAATGTAATCTTGATATTTGAGTTTTTGACCCGTTATTTAACCCTTTCGCTACAAATGTCGTCCATGGACGACATCTACTCGACTATTTGTGTATACCAGTGTCTTCCATGGACGACATCCGCTCGACTACTTGTGTATCCCAGTGTCTTCCATAGACGACATTCGTATGACGTGCTGTTTGTACGGATGTCGTCCATAGACGACATGTAACGTATAGATGACTTTGGCTTCAAGATTTATCACTATTAGTTAAAGTATTGGTATTTCTGGTTTTTATTGAAATTTTTAGTTTATTTGAGCAAAAGCAAAATTTTAAAATTTTCAACACATTTTTATTGATAATGATAAAAATATATTAACGGCTTGGTGCCTAATTAGCGCTACTAGTGGACACGTATCCAAAATTTAATCAAATGCTCCTAGAATCACCATAATTATAGGTTTAACAAATTAACACATTGATAAAAAAACAAAAAAAACTTGATTTATCAGAATAAAGAAGTTGCACCGAGAATGGCTATTCTTCAATATATACTTATTTGAGACATGTTATATTTCTATCGGAGACCAGTAACATAATATAGCTTTTTATCCCAGAATTTGGCCACTATCAAAAACTACATGAATACCTACGTGTTTTGTCATGTAACAATCTATTCAAGGAATATTTTACAAAAAATCATGAATTTTACTTATTTAATTTTGATGAAATAATTTATAATACTTATAAAAACGTATTGGAATCAGAATTTTAAAAAAATATTTGAGCAATATTTATTATTTATATCAATTTAATTGAATGTCTTCACATTTTGTATAGATATTTTGTTTACGACTCATAAATCTTGAAATATCAAACGCTAGAAAAGATTAAAAATAGTAATTTAATTTATATTTGTAAAAAATAACATAACGCGTGTTTTATATGCATTCCTATTTGATAGAAATACACTAATTCTATTATATTCGTATTTAATGGAAAAATTTACTTGCATGTAGACTGTAAAAATAATAAATGTTGTCACAAGCTGTGCAATCGTTAAAATTGTGTTTTAAGCTTATTGGAATATAATATATAATTTAAAAAAAATTTAAAACAATTAAACTATTATATAATATTAAACTTATACTAATATATACATATACACATAGATAAAATATATACATAGCACATTAATACGTATGTAATCATGAAATTATCAATATGGTTTTTGCTACAAACTCTAGAAAAACAAAGATCGATAATAACAAAAGACATATTTTATATTTTGTTTATAAAATAATCTACTAAAATTAGAATGAATTTAAAATAAATTTAACATTGTTTTTTTTTGGTTGTGAGCACTGTTGTTTAGTTTACGAGACTTCAATATAGTTTTTAACTTTACATTTTTCATTTATTTTATAAAATGTATTGTTAATTTCAAGTTAGATTTAACATATGCTTCTATATAACCTCTATAATAGCTTACATGTGACTGAGACAAAAAGGATCAAGAAAACCTTAGCCTGGCAAAGGTGCAAGCAATAAAAAATGGTAATTAAAAATATAAAATATTATTATATTAAATATACTAAAGCTAAATTAAGCCCTTGAGCACAATTTTGGCCAATGCCCTCATAAGTAAAAAAAAATCCAATCGTCATTAACAAAATATTTGTTGCCAGCTCAGCCAAATCTAATCTCCAGCGAAAACTTTTACCAACTATCCATAAAATTCTTTCCTATCGCGAGTCAAGAAAAACATTATGATAGTTTTTAAATTTAAGATATATATTCTTTCGTTCGAGCCGTAGAAAAACTAGTAAAATAAAGTCAAACTTCTTATTCACCTCCATGAAAATAAAACTTGTCGACGTGAACAAAATCGAAGCCAAACTGAGTGTGAAAATGCAAGCGAAGTCGAAATGAATATTGAGAAAACATATGAGTTATTGCCGAAAGAAGGGTGCTTTTTATTTATGGGATGCGATAAAAATAAATAAAATTAATGCACTTATGATGAGTTTTGAAAGAAATATGAAAATTGTGAGACTATAAATCGCATAGCTTTGAAAACTGGTATAATGCTGACACAGCAGAAAGTATTTTAAATTTATTATTTATTTTTAAATTAATTATTGCATGGCAGAGTAATCTAGTAACCAATCTATGTCATACTAATTTTAAAAAATTAGAATTTTTCTGAAAATTTCAACTATTTTTTAAAGCAACTGTGCTGCGTGGCTGTTTTAATAGAAAAAAATATCGAAGCAAGTAAGCGCCGCATCGCAGGCCCATAGAAATGTAAACAAAATTTATACTTGTTAAAATCTCTATAAAATATCTGATAATTTGATGTGTATATATCTAATGATCATTTTTGACCACCACATGGCATTTTTTTCTTTTTTTTTTATTCGATCTCTGAAAGCGCTGGACCTGGTTCTACAAAAATTTAAACGGTATTTTTTTTACCCCGTATATTCAAAAGACGACCTGTCTTTGCAAAAACTAATCACCACGTCTCATCAATACGAATCGAATGTTTTGTGAATTATTCAAATCGGTTGATCAGTGTTCTCGAAACCGTCGACAAAAATTTGTATCCGCAAGCTGTTTGTGAGATATATTAAGCATTTTTCATCATTGTAAAAATAAAGAATGTTTAAAAAAATGTTGCATTTGCACGTGTTAACTTATGCTTAAATAATACATGATAAAATTATTTCTCAGATGAGAAATTTATAGTGAAAATATGCAATCCGTTTAAAATGATAGAAATTATAAAGCCATGAACTGCTTTCATTATATTTTGAATTGACAATGGTATATAAATAAATATGTGGAATTTGAAACCCAAGCTTTCAGATACCTATGTCTAGACATTTATTTATAGTATGAGATATACAAAGTATTTTTTATGGTTTTCAAAATAAAGGATGACAAAGAAACTGACGTGGTTTTAAATAAAGTGAAACAGCTCCAACAATTTGGAAAATATTTATATTCAGAAAAAATACATGGAATCTAACGCATAATTTCGATATACACGAAAGTTTATAAATTATGAAAAAAATGTATTCTATTTTATAATTGTAATTTCTAAACAGTTATGCTTACTCGTGATCAAAAATCATTTCAAATTAAGTAAATTATAAGTGTGAAAATATTTATACAATTATTATCGCAATAAGTATGAAATGTCTATAATCATAAACGTTTAAGGTCTTCCGAATATTGAGAAACCATGGGTTTCAATAATATAAATTTAATAAAAAATATTTATTGTAAACAAAATGTAACCTTAATGTACGATGAAAAATTAAAAAAATAGGAAAGAATGCAATTTCTTTAAAAATATTTAAACTAAATAACATGATGTGCTCATAAAATTAGATACTCCATATTTAGTATTATAACAGTGGAAAAAATGTAAAATATCTATGACGATACTTCTATTAATACAAACGTCAAATTTATTTATCAGAAGAGCGTTCAGAATTGTTTTTATCCAGTAATTATTGAAAATTTATTTATGATAGTATTGTCACAATTAACTTGTAGATGCTAATAATAATATTATTAATTATATGAAATTATAGATACGTGAAATTAGGTGCAAACTTATTATATGAGCAAAAACTCACAAATTGTGCAGAATTGGAAAAATTAGCAACGTATAAACTGCCGAGCATAAAGTACTAAGAGTAATTATCATTTTATAGTTGCTAATGTTACAATACTAAAAACAAAAGATCATTGAAAACATCATCAAATTTCCATAAACAACGCATTCAAAATTGTTTCTATTCGGTATAATTGTTTGAAGTACTATGTTTTGGTCCAGTAACAAGTAATTTAGTGCAAATTTATTATGTGAGCAGAAATTCACAAATTGTGCAAACTGCATAAAGAAGTAAGAGTAATTATCATTCTATAGTTGTCAATGCTAACATACTAAAAACGAAAGATCATTGAAAACACTATCATCATCAAATTTCCATAAACAACGCATTCAGAATTGTTCCTATTCAGCACAATTGTTTAAAGTACTATATGTTTCGGTGCAGTAACAAGTACACAACATGTCTTATATATGTTGTTCTCCTTCGACAATGTGTTAGCAACA